TTGTGTGGTCGCCAGAGAGCCACACAAATAATTGTGGAAAGGCTGCAAATACATCAGGTGGGTATCCCCCTAATGCTGGAAGACTGTGCCCCCGAAGGAGGGCACTGGAGCTTCTTTACAGCCTTGGCTTAGTCCTGCAACTAGGTGGAGGAGAACTGCCAGACTCCAGGTCTCCTGGGCTAAACTGATTAATCTCAGCAATCCATTATTCAGGTAGTCAATACGTATTGACCCTTTGTTCTGTACTGGCCTCTGAGGGAGGGACATCCCCGACCCTGGCTGAGGGTCGGTAACAGGCAGGCGTCAGTGGGCTTACTCATCCTCGGGCATGGTGCTCCTCAGATTATGAGCTTGTGAAGTCAAACAAGGGAAGCAAATATGAACTGCAGGGCTAGGCCAGCCATAGGACCAACTTTCCCCTTGGAGGAGAGGAAGACACAAGGAAGGAGTAACAGATCCCAAGGAAGCCCAAAGGCCAGCAAGGTGAGCAACGTTAACCTTGGAGCTCCTGAGATAACCTGTCATACCTTGTCCCACCTCCTATATACCCTGGGGCAACAGTTGAGTCCCCAGCATCCCCAAGGCCCCACCTGTGGCTTTTCTAGGTGCAGCCCACACAGCGCTTTTCACCAGCTGGGACTCAGTGCCCACAATGCCCCATCCACGGCTCCACAGTTCTGGGATCTTGGGAGTGGCTCCAACCCCACAGCTCTGCTGGGCATTGCTCTAGTGAACTCTGCTGTTGCTCCACACCTGCAGTCGTTCTCTGCCTGGCCCTGGGGCTCTTCGGGGCAGCATCTGAAGTCCAGGTGGAAGTGGCCACGCCTGCACATCCCCTGTGTTCTGTGCGCTTGCATTGCTCGCGCCGTGTGCCTGCTGTCAAGGTTGGCTCCCGTGCCTTCCAAACCAGTGGCCTGAGCCACACCGGCATCACAGCACGGAGTGCTGACCAGCGTTTGGGAAGCAGAGACTTAGGGCAGTGCCAGCTGGCCAGCCCTGAGGTCTCACACCCTCCCTGGACACCATTCTGTCTCTAGGTATGTGACGGCAGTCGTAGCAGCAAAGATCTCTTGAATGCTTCGCAGTCATTCCTTCACTGTCTGAATAGGACTGTCTGACTTCTTCTCTTCATACTGATCTCACAAAATGTTTCCTTGCCCACATCCGTGATGTCCTCTCCGAAATGCTCCTTTTTATTCCTGCAATGGCCAGGCTTTTAAGTTCTGCTTTCTTTTTATTATAAACTTCCTGTGACTTGTTTTTCTCATCTCAGTTTTTGCTAAGCAGTCAACGGAAGCCATGCCACATCCTCAGCACTTTGTTTAGATGTTTCTTCCGCTAAATATTCTAGTGCGTGAAAAGATCTGCTCTCTAGGAAGCATTAGGACACTGAAGTTCAGCCACATCCTTTGCCACTTTACAACAAGGGCTCCCAATACCTTGCTCTTTGCTTCTGCCTGAGATCTAATTTGCACTGTTTTCACAGTCCGTATTTCCACCAGCATTCTGATCACGGCCACTTAGGTAATGAGCAGATCTAAGCCCTCTCCGTGGATCCCCTCTCCTGAACCTTCACCTGAATCACCTTTATTACTCTGTTCATGGCAGTACAGGCTTTTGCTCTCATTCGTTCCAAACCTACTCCAGCCTTTGGCCTTTGTACATTAACAGTACCACAGTTTCAAAGCCATGTATTTTGGTATTTTTCACCAAATATTAAACACCTCACCTCTCAGAATCGATGTCTATCTCAGACTATTTCTACTGCTATAACAGCATACTTTAGACTGAGTACTTTATAAACAACAAGTTTATTTCACAGTTCACAGGAGACTGAGAAGTCCAAGATGAAAGCACAGTCAGGCTCAATGTCTGGGAGGGCCCTGTCTTTAGGGACACAGGATAAAAGGCTTATGTTATCCCTGTAGGCATCTAAGGCACTCATCCCTCTGTGAGAGAGGAGCCCGCAAGGCCTCATTACTTTGAAAGGGACTCACCTTTTAATGTGATTGCACTGAAAATTAGATTTCAACGTAAATTTTGGAGAGGACACAAACATTCAACCTACAGAACCGGTGTTATCTAGGAATTAAGGAGGCTATAGCATTGTAGTAAGACATGGAGAATAGTTACTGGAGTATACAGACTATGTATGCCCCGTGAGTAATTGTCAGCCAGGTGTGGTGGCTCACACCTGTAATCCCAGCCCCGGAGCCTGAGGCAGGAGGGGTGCAAATTCAAGGCCAGCTTGGGGTACACAGCAACACCCTGTCTCAAAAATAATAATAAGTTTTTTAAAAAAAATAGTTCAGGGGTTGATGGGTAGGAGAAATGACAATGAACTGGTGGCATTAGAAATCCCTTCCATGAACTCAGGGGACTCACTAAGGGTTAAAACCCCAGCTGGATCGCAGCAGGTGCAGAGGGGCACGGGACAAAGAAAGGGTGGCAGGAGCCATGGAGATGTCTTTGAGAAGCTCGGTTAGCACTTGGAGAGCCTCTGGTCTTGCTGTCCTTCATGTGGCCACTTCATAGTTAAGACCCTTCCTCAGCACATCTGAGGCATAATCACTGTATTCACTTCTGAATCACGAACTTCCATGGGTTATGTGAGAGAGAGTATGTGTTTGCACAGAGCAGGAATAGCCATGTCTGGCAGAGTCCCAAGGCAGGCTGGCGGGCAGGTCACTCTAGCCAACACACCACCCCGCTGTCCTTTAGCCCTTAGTGACTCAGGAACCTGAGTGGGCCCCACCGGTTCTGGTGAACAGCCTGTGTCCACAGTCATATTCCTTTGGGATGTAGCTGCAGCTGTTTGGAGAAAATTTCTACCTGTTCAGCATTCAGGGTGACCCGTGTCTTCTAGAACATTGGTCTGCTTCCCAAAGTGCATGTCTGGTCTCGGGGTGTTCTGTGTAGAGAGCTGGATTTTAACCATATGACAGGTGACCAGAGGACATATTCTGGGGCATCAAAAATTGGTGGGAATAGGTTCTTCCTCGGAGGTGATAAAAGCACCTTTGAACAAATCAGAGGATGACTGGGCAACATTGTGAATACACTAAGGGTTGTTGAATTGTACATTATTTAATGGTGAGGTTTAGTTATGTGAATTTCACCTCCATATTTTTAAAGCTTTATCATCATTGCAAATACAGATTTCAGAGAAATAGTTCCATTTGTGGAGGAGGCAGGGATCATGACCGTGATGAACACAGACATTGCTGCTGAAGGCCTAGTTCTATGGTGTTCAAAGCGGTGTCTCCAGATCAGCAGCAATGTCACCCAGAAATTTAGAAGAGAAAATGAAACTCTAACCTAGTTCTGTTGAACCAGATCTGGGAGCCAGCAGTCCAAGTGTCAATAAAGTGGTTCTGATTTACATTAAATTTTAAAACTGTTAATTTAGTTCTTCGATTGACAGGTGTATTTACATGTGTTCATTTTATATTTAAAAATAAAACCAAATCAAACAAATAAATAAATAAATAGGATCATGCAATGACTAAGGGTGGTCCAAAGATTATGTTTTCATCTAAGGCTAAAACTTGTGGCTTATTTTAAAAAGGAAAAAAAAAAAAAGGTTCCTTAGCAACCATTGATCTTAACACACCAAAGTCCATCTCTAAGACAGCACAGGGCAATATCGATTCATGGCAGGGTCTTACCAAGATAGAAATAATCAGCGTTATGATACAAGAATGGCTGCAATTAGAAGATAGAGACCTAGGATGCTGCTGAACATCAAGGAGAACACGAGGCTTTTCTCTTCCAAGCTTCCCAGTCTAAGCCCACGCACCACAATTTGTCTGAAGCTCTGCTTTGTGCTGATTCTGGCGCCTGTGGCACCTGGCAGCTTGGGACACCTGCTCTGTGGGCTTCCAATCTGTGCAGAAGCAAGGGGCAACACGCATGGGAGAGGCTCGCTCTTGGGGTGAGGAGCGAAGGGTGGTTTCTAGTAGAGATGTGGCACCCACTCTGCTCCCAGCTGTTGCTGTGGACAGAGCCAGTGCAGGGCTGAGTGGGCAGCCTGGCCAGTCGCCAGCATGGGCATGGACCTCCGTGAGGCTGGTTCATGGGCCTGAGTAAAGGCCTCGTCAGCGTGGCAGCTTGGGGCCACTGTTGTCCCCCTATATTCTCTGAACAGACCATGTCATCTTCTCCTGTGAACACTAATTTCCCTTGAGTTAGGATAACTGGGCTGAGAGCAGCCATCTGCAGAGCTGTGCCACTTCAGCAAGGGCTCTGCAGCAGGGCCAGGCTGGGGAACTGCTTCTTGGAGGAGTTTCCAAGCCATATAACGCATACTCCACTGTTTGCTGAGATGGGGTTTGTCCCTGTCACACCACCCCGATCACCCCCAGCCAGAAGACAGCAGAGCTGTGACTCAAACCCAGGACTTGTGAATTTCAACTCTGGAGACTTCTCTCTAGTGTTTGATTGCTTCAAGCAACCTGTACATGGAAAGAATTGATAAATATCTGCTCAATACATAGCTTCATAAATATGAAGAGAAAAATGTACTCAGATGGGAAGGGAAGTTAAATTTCCCAATAATGAGACTTTTGAGCAATAGCAATTATTTAGATGCAGAAAAAATACCTTGGAGAATTGTGTCATGATTTCCATGGATTAATAAACTGTTAAAAAACAAACAGATCAGAGGTGCAGTCCATGTCTGGGGCCTCCCTGTGGGCTGTTTGAAACATCTATTAGGTGTGCATATGGGCAGAGAAGCGACCAAATGCAGTCAGTTCCTGCTCACACAGAGAGTGGCAGCTGGTGGAAAGGGTGTCACACCTTCCCCTTAATTGTGTCAACGCCCTGGATTCGAAGCAACTCGGGGCTTTGTGGGGTTGGCGCCTCAAAGCCAGCAAAGGAGCATTCTCTGAAAGGTAACGACAGACCTGTTGTGCTTGTCGGTAGAGAGCTTGTACTTCACAACCTGTCCACCATCTGTGGTCCCATCTAACTTCTTTGTGTTTCCCCCCACGATCCAGGTCACAACAGGTGGAAGAGCCAGCTACTACGTGTCCTATCGGAGAGAGGCCTTTGCTCAGATAAAGCTGCCCAAGTACTCCTTGCCGAAGGTACTGCTTGGCTTGAACCACTTGCTCTCCTGAGTCCTGCCTGACAAAGCGAGCCCTGGGTTGTCTGCCTCGATGTGTGGTGGGAGGCCTGAATAGAGCTGGGAGACTGCTGATGTTCGGTCTGACCTACATCCCAGGGGCTTGGCTACCACTCTTGTTGCTCAGCCTGGGTTCTGTGTTCCCCTTCCAGCAGGCCTGGAAGATAACTGGAAGTTTAAGTTCCTTTAACTGGAAGTTAAAGCTCAAATATCTCGCGTGGCCTTGGGCCCTTTCCCAGAGGTGGTAGTGAGCAGGGCATTGGCTTCAAAATCTTCTGAGGCCCCTCCCTTTGCAAAGGTTTTACTAGTTTAATTTTCATTTTCATTAGCACATGCTTGCAGTACATGATGATTAGCTTCACTGAGGGGATCTGGGATGCAAACATAGCACACCTTAATCTATTTTCATCCCCTTCCCCTCCCTGCTTCACTGGTACCTAATAGAAGACCAAGTTCAGGCAGGAGCACAGATGCTCCTTTTATGAGTGTACATAAAAGCACACAGAGAAGTCTTGTGGTTTTCTTGCTTCTCTCTACATTTTAAGGGTAAATATGAGCACACTGTTTATATTTCTACTCCTTTCTACTACTGTAACTAGTTAAAGTGGGGTAATTTACTGGAATATTTATATCATACGGTGGCATTCTAACTGTGCTGTTGGAACATTATAAAACTTACTGTGTGGACTCCATTCCTATGAACATCGGCTGTGGGGAGACAGATCTTATGACCTCAGTGTGAACAGGACGGGATATAACTGTGTCACTTAAGGAGGCTACAGAAGCAATGACTCTGGGTGGGACACACATCAAGTGTAAGGTGGCAAAGATGCGGGCCTCTGAGCAGATGGTAAGAAACATATGCTGTGAGAGGTTAAATGTATGTAGAGGTGAGATAATCGGGGAGTAAGAAAGTGGGTAGTTTTCTATCCCTTGGTATTTTCATTCTTTCAGCCTTTCGTGTGCGTATGCATTCATTCACTGGTTTGTGTGTTCATATAGTCTTTTATACATCCATTCATCTATTCTTTCTTCCATTTAAGGATGTACTGTATGACAGACACTGAACTAAATTCTGTGGAAGAAGAAGTGCATAAGATACAATTGATCACTGCCTTCCTGAAGCTTGTAGTCTGGTGGAGAAGACAGATGCTAAACAAACTACTACAGATATAGGGAATGTTAAGGACCACCTTGGCATAATGGAAAAAATTACTGGAATGTAGATAGTGAGGATTCCTTCCTAAAGAAAATGATATTAAACTGATATAAAAAGGATAAGGAGTTAGCTCTGCAAGCAAGGCTTGGAAGGAAGCTGATCAGAGATGTGCTGGTTCCTTGGTATCAGGAGGGGGGTGCAGTCAAGAACCCTGCGAATGCCAGAATCTAGGGATGCTCAAGTCCTTTATATAATGTGGTGTAGTATTTCCATATAATCTACACATATTCTTTAGTATAGATCACCTCTGGGTTACTTACAACACCTACTGTAATACAAACACTTATAATACTTGTAACACTTACAACATTGTAATACTTACAATGCTTCTAACACCTACTGTGCTATTCCCCTACTATGGGAATAGGTGTGGTACTGTATTGGTTAGGGAATAATGACAAGAAGAAGGTCAAGTTGAGCACATTTAGTACGGATACAGGCCTGTCTACACTTTGGATCCACAGTTGAATACATCCATTGGAACCTACAGATACTTAGTCCAACCATACCTGTGCAGTCTCTATTTTCAGAGATTGTGGTTCATTTAACAAACTAAAGAGCCGTCTTAAGAGACTGGGTTGCTGAGAGTGGTAGAGCAGCTGATGATGTGGGCAGGACTCACGTTAAGAAGCCACGGGGACTTTGAGAACCAGTTTCTCATTTGCTGTCCCTTCTCTAAGATTGCCTTTCATGGAACCACTGCATAAAATCATGGTTGTAGATTGTGCCCATCAGATATTCTCAGCTGAACCAGGAAAGATGTATCCCTGCCTGGAGAAAATTAGAAAGGCAAAATCCAGAGTCATACTTTTCCTAAAAGAGAATGCCCCTTCAGTGACCTAAGCTCTCCATACATTGGCCTAAGAAAGGAGTTTCAGAAATTTTCCAAAGCATCTCCCAAGGTAGGGTTCATTTTGCTTCTGTATGTGGGCATATTTTATGTATTTTTAACCTTCTCAGGAAAACTAACATTTCCTTTCCCTGGGCAGTGTGGCTGTGCGTGAGGACAGATGAGTTGTGGAATTGATTATCACCCCGGAGCTCTCCACTAATGATTAGCAACCCAATAGCAGCACAGTGTGAGGGAGGATCATCCCACCCAGGCGGCCCCATTAGAGAACTTCATCCAGAGCAGCATCTCATTGATAGAAGGGCTGCTGTGCAAACAGCTGGCTAGTTATTGATCCCCTTTACTAGCTGGTGTTGGCCTAGATATTCATAGTCAAGACTGAGGAGGTGGAGATGGGGGTGGAAGAAGATTGGTTCTGTCCATTGTTTAAAAATGGAAATGGCATTTAGGCAAGTTGCTACTGGTCCGTGCATCAGTGTGGCTGCTTTTAGGCATCTGGCTTAAGAACAAAGTGTGGAAAGCTCCCTGTCCAGCTTCCCTCCCCACTCAGCTCCGGACCTCTCTGTTCAGAGTATGCACTGCACGATGTGGAGTACTTCCTGGAGCGAAATGAGTGTCACCAATAGGAGCAGCATTAGTAGGAGCAGCAGCTTTGTGCTGAACCCTCTGTAACTCTACACCCAGGCACTGGGGTGACACTTCTGTTCCTGGGTATGAAAAGTATGGTCCTGGGGAGGGAGTGGCATCAGATGACAAGGACCGATGGGAGTCCTGAAAAAGCACTTGAGTTTCAGAGCAGATAACCTAAGCTTTCATTCCAGCTCTGCCACTTACTTATCCATGAGCCAGATCTGTGAAATGAGGATTAGAACACCGTGTGACGAAGTCTTGAGCATTCAATGAATACTGAAGTGCTTACTAACGTGTTTAACAAACCTAAGGAATGGGTGTGACCCCCGGGGAAGTAACCCTGATGCTATTAGCCTGCCTGGCACCGAGCTCAGTGTCCACGATGGAATCACATCTCAGCAGACTTTGGACTCAATACTGCCTGACTGTCACTTTACCACCCTGAGTATGATGTACGCTCTTCGGTCTCCCCGTGTCTGGGTTTATTCTTCACTTGCTACTCTGCTAACCATAATAGTTGGGGAAAATTGCTTTTTGTTTGGTGTTTGCTGCAGGGGATTCAGGTTGCTAGTATGCTGAGCTTTGTCTGAGCCCAGTGCTGCCGGAGCACAGCTGAGGTTAGGGGAGTAACTCCCACCCTGTGACCCACACGTCTGCCTGGTTTACCTGTAACAAGACCAGATTCTCACTCCTGATCTCATCAGTGATTAGCTGAGCTGTCCTCCTACTGGCCAATCTAGATTGAATGCCCGATAATTTGATTTGACCAAAATTAAGTTTGGATTTCTCTTACCCTCAGCCTCTGAACCTTGAGCTCATGCTTGAGCTTTTGCAAGCCCTGGAAGCTTGGTCAAACGGTGAAAGGAGCACAGCTTCCCTTAACAGCCCTTGAGAAAGTCGCTTGATCCCAGATAAACTGAAGTCCTCTTCCGTTCTTCTGTCACACTGCCTGTACCCCACTCCCACTCCCAGTTGTTTCCAGCTTTATTGTACTTCTTTTCAATAAAAGCCACTCTTTCCCACCTTCTCTCTGATCTGCTTACAGATATTATCAGCAGGGTATTGTCCTTGCAGTAGTCTTTTCTTACCTAAGTCTGAGTAGATTGTTGTTATTTGACAGTAGAATATAATTTATCCTATTTTGAATGACAAAAGAGAGGAGAGAGGAAGATGTCTTAGGCAATTTATGACAATAATGGTGACCTGGGATTCTTACATTTCTACAAACACTGGTTTATCTTTCTATGCTGTGTCATAACCTCACTTTTGGAAAAGCCATCTGTAATTTTAACCTCTTTGCTTACTTCCTGTTCACGCTTCAACACAGTGGTCGTCATCCTCTGCCCACCTACCCACATGTCCTCTGGCTCACAAAATATCCTCTAGCCTTGTTACCAGGGGCCACCTACATGCCAAACCTAATGGACATTTCTGCACTTCATTCATCTCTCTGGAGCATGTGACACAGAAGGAGAAAAAGATCCATACTCGATGCTCTTCTCTTTGGCAGCATTTTATTCTCATTTCCTTTTCTGGATGTCCTCCCTCTGGCCACACTTTAAATGCTGGTGTTCCTAAATTTTTCTTGCATTTACATATTCCCTGGTGACCTCATCCCTATTTTTCATACAGGTGAATGCTACATCCAAATCCACAGCCTGCATCTCTCCATGGTACTCCCCACATATTCAACTGCCTGTTTGAAGGAAATTGAAATCTTTCCAAAAAATTCCTTGCAACCAGCCCACAACGGGCCCCTAGTCTCTACCCTATGTGCCATGCACCTCATCTGTCTCTCCTCTTAAGGTCCAGGTTCCATTATTTATTCTGTAAACTTCTGTTTTATGTCTACTATGGGCCAGATACTCCTTAAATATTAGAGAAAAAATGATAAGTAAGAGAGACGGTCTTCTGTCCTCTAGAATCTTAGTCTAATGAGAGAAGGAGACATGATATAAACAATTGCACAAGTGATGACTTAACCGTGACTGTAATGACCAGTGTAAGAAAAAGCAGAAAGTTGTATAAGTCAAATATCTGAAGCATTGTAGATATGTCTTCTGCACATCCCCCGGTACAATTTACCCTTTCACATCTCATCAGTCCATTTCACAGGGATCTCATAAAGAACCTACTGCCTTAGCTCAGCCCCTCAGGCACAATTACCAGATTAAGGCAGTGATCCTGTAAGCTTCCCTCGTTTGCATCTAGCATCGCCCCCACTCAAACCCACTCTCCACACGATGCCATGATGAATAGGATCACCTGAGGAACTTGATCCTCTCCAACCAAACCTCTGCATTGAGCAACTCTGAGCATGCCTTTCTGCTGCTTAACACATGGGGTGAGCTTTGTACTGTTTTGGGAGAAAAGGCTAGGTGTTCACCCCCTCCCCCGACCCCCTTGTGATTAAGCCAACAATCTCTCATCCTCACTTCCTGCAGAGGAAAACTGCTTTTGAGCTGTACTGTGCTCCATGCATTTATATCCTTGTAAGTTGCATCTTTTCTCTTTGTACCACTGCATTTCACTTACCACATTTAGTGCCTCTAGTGTAGTACTCGGTCCAATCTGAGAAAGACCACCAGGGGATGTGATCACTCCACTGTTAGGCATCTTTTCTGGAAGCAGCATTACCTTGTTTCCCATCTCTCCGATGTGGCATTTGGCACATAGAAAAAACTTACTAACAGAGGTGATTATATAACGAATTAAGCTATTGTAGGCCCAAATTGTAAGAAAATATTTCAAGAACATGGAAACATTTTTCACCATCGTTCATCTAGGAAGTCACAGGTTTGAGTTTTTACAAAACAACTAAGAGTCTCTTGAATTATTGTTGGCAGGGGAGGGGGAATGTTATTTATCATTACTTTCCACATAAAAGCACTTACATGATTTATTTTACATGCTTCAAGTACAAAGTTTTATAAGATCTCAGTCAGAATGTTCTCACTGTGTTTCCCCTCCTTCAGTTTCACCCTTTACCACCAGATTTATCTCTGCATGTTCTTAGGACCAGGGAAGGAAGAGACATTTGCCTTAGAGATAGTTTGAGGTAGCCAGAGTCAAGAAATATCTTCACTACTGCTTCAAACCTTGTTGGGCCAACTTTATTTAATATGCACTTGTTTGTTCTTGAAGGCTAAATATTCTAGCTATTATTGGCTGACCTCTACTTAATCATAAGGTCTATTTAGAAAGGGGCCACAAAGTTCAGAGATTTTCAAAGAGTGATTCCCCAAGGTTTAGCTATAACTAGAATCATTTGGAGGGCTTATTCAGGTGGTAGAATCTAAGACTCCACACCAGACATACGGGATCATTATCTCAAGCCAGGGGACCCACAGGGAGTGTGCATGCTTTTGAGATGTCTGGTTCAACTTGGGCCTGGTGGTGCATGTCTGTTATCCCAGTTACTGAGAGAGCTAACGTGTGAGCGTTTCTTGAGCCCAAGTTTCCACACTCAGCCTAGGGCACATAGTGGGAGCCTGTCTCCTAAAAAGGAAAGGAAAAAAAGAAGAGAAGAAAAATCTTGAGTTACATGCAGAGATCTCCAAGTTATTTTTTTTTTATGTAGTGATGTATTCTTCATTGACATGTTGTTGAAAAATGTAGATTCTGGATTAAGATAGTGTTGGGTTTAAATTTTAATAATGTCAAGAGTTAGCTAAGTAACTTTGTATACTCTCTCTTTTTGTTTGTTTTTCTTTTGGTAGCGGGAATCGAACTCAGGACCTTGCACTTGCCAGGCAGGTGCTGTGCTGCTGAGCTATATCCCCAGCCCAAGCTAAGTGATTTTGGCAAGCTAAGGAATTTTCAAGCAGACATCCCAGAATCTTAGGTACCAGACAGCAGTCTCTTATCCTAGAACCTGGATACCTCTTCCACAGGTGACATGGCCCAGGATAGTATTTGCCAAATGTGCACTCACAGCAAACCTGGATGCCTGTTATTTTGACCATGGCCTGGTGCTTTAAGTTGTTGATTTCCATTTCTTTTACATTAGCTTAGTCTCAAATAACTTAGCTCATTCATTTTTATGACCAAAACATCTGGGGAAAGCCAGGCATTTCCATTGCATTTTTAACAGGGTAAGTGAATTTAATCTGTATTTCCTGTGGCTGCTCTTTCCCCTCCTACTGAGTTCTTGGGCATTCATTCCACACCAGTGCAACACGATTTCCCCACGTGGTTCTTAAGGGGAAGCCTTCTCTCTATTTTTAAGCAGCTCAGCTGGAAACTGTAATTCTACAAGATGTGTAAGCACGGATGAGCAGACGAGGTCTTAGTCAAGGTGACCTGGAGAGCTCAAGTCCAGAGGCTTTCTGACAACGGATCTTCCACAAAACATCTGGAGTTTCTTTTTCCTATTTCTTCCATCTTCCAGTTGCCCAAATTAAACAGAAGTGTTCCTTTATGAATCATTTCGGTGGAGCTCTCCGTGGTGCTGACACCAAAGGCATTCTTGCCCCTTTTTACTTGGAATGATTTCTAGAAAATATGGGTCAAATAAACAAAGTCTGAACTCAGCCTGATTATTAACTTACTGTCAGCCACAATTTCTTGGGGTTCTATCACGATGCATTCCACCACAGGGACAAAAGTGATTCTCCTTCTGATATCACCTGTTGGTATATGGAATTACATATTTAAAATACAGCAATTTTATACCAGTGTGTTCTCCTGATGGTATGAATTCCCAAGGTAAGAGCTTGAATTTGGATCATCTTTGTACAATGCCTAAATATGTGTGCAGATTGGCTTTAGTAAATATTTTTGAGTTGTGAATCATGAGATATTATCTTAGAAATCACCCAGACCAAAATTATAAAATGACTTCAGGTACTAGGCAGGTAATGTGAGTATGTAAGCGGTAGATCATAAGAGTATTGGACATGTAGGGCTGAGACCCGATGGTGCTGATTTTGCCTAAAAGACCAGGGATTCAGGTGTTCAACATAGAATATGATCAAACTAAAGTCATATGATCGTTGTTGACTCTACTGGTCATCTGCCTGATTGAGAGTCTGTATTTCCAAATTGTGAGAAACTAATCACTGTGTTAGAGTCACATCCCAGAGGATCAGAACCTCGTCCTGCCATTTAGAAGCTATGTAATAAGAAGCACACTGGTAAATTTCTGGGTGCCCTAGTTTGTTCTTCAGTAAAACAAAGATAATCATGCTATCTTCATCACAGAATTATTTTCATTTCCATTTGAAAAAGGACATCAGGATGACTTAAAAAGTACCCAAATATAAAACATCAACCTTTTCACTTTGAAGGAAAGAAAATTGAGATTTGGGGAGACTAGCAATTAAACAGTCATACAGCTGGCATACCAGTGTTTCCTTTTTTAGTGTTTTAAACACTGAATTCCAGATTGGGTGTCCTGGAATTTACCCAGGTTGAGTGTCTTCTGTATCAGTGATTTTCAAATATGATTTAAATGTACAAGCAGCAGATTCTTCCTCATCATTTACTTCTAAAACACTGCAGAGAACTCCAGTGTGTACAACTGATTCACATGGTACTGCTGTGGTTGAAGCAGGGCAGGAGACTTAGGGCCTGACCCATTGGTTGTGCCTGATGCTGAAGGCTGTAAAGAAAAATGCATGAACCACTGCAGTATAAAATTTAGAAACAGAAGTTAAGATCAGAGGACAAGATACGGCCTGTCTTCTCTGTGTGTGTGAGCTTCCTCTAATAAGACCTGTTAGCACTAACACTAATTTTCAGATATAAAAATAAGAAGTGAAAGTGCATGAATCCCTTGAAGCCAAGGAAAATGCTACCCACCCCAAACCCCTGACACTCCTCTTCCTGTCAAGGAAGGAGCGGAAATCATGAAGTCCATAATTTGCAGCCTTGGTCTGACATTCAATAGTTTATCATTGCCCGTAACTCAAGCTTTTTCTCCACCATTTCATAAGTCATAGTAATGAGTCGGGATCCCAGTGGGCAGGGAGATATGGTGATCTGCTGTCTTACAGGCTGTCCATCTCCTCACAGGACATGCACATCATCAGCACAGATGAGAACCAAGTGTTCGCGGCCGTCCAAGAGTGGAACCAGAACGACACCTACAACCTCTACATCTCAGACACACGAGGGATCTACTTCACGCTGGCCATGGAGAACATTAAGAGCAGCCGAGGTCAAATGGGAAACGTCATCATTGAGCTGTATGAGGTATGTAACCAAATGATCCTTCCCCTGGACTGACCTCTCTTTTTCGTGAGTTTTAGTGGTGTAAGCACAGAGAGTGGAGTCCTGATTTAGATACCACGGGTACCACTTAGCAGTTGTGATTTAAGCAAAGGATCAGGACTTCTCTGTACCTTGATTTCAGAAGAATGGAGTAAAACACTTACGTAGGGAGATTACTGTGAAGTGAGAGATGGTCAAGCTAAAGCATCTAGTGTAGTGGCTGCCTCAATATAGCTGATGTTTTTGTATGTATGAACATTAATTCAAGCCAGAATTGATGGCTCAGGGCCTTATACTGCTTTCAAAACTCTATACTCCTTATGGACCTGAGGTGCTGGAATAATAATATGTTTAACGTATGTGTAAGCTATTTGGAAAATCAAGTTTATGGACACATTTTATAGGAAAAAAAGGCAACGATTACTGGCAGAATGCCAGCAGATTCCACCAAATGCCAGATATGGAGTGTGAAGAAATGCCTTGATGTGAGTGTGCCACTTACACTGATGTGGTTTTCTCTGCTTTTGGATTTGTTTGTGCAAGTTAAAGAATCATTGCTCTAATGAAGCCAAATGGTTTTATACAGGAACTAGATTTTTAAAAACTAGTTTCTAGTGACCTACAGATGTGGTGTTTTTAATACCTCCAATGACAGTGTGTAACACTTGACAATCCTAAGCACAGGGAAGGGACTGATAACAGATTGATGCAAGTGAACAAAGTGTGTCTTACTCTCAAGCATTAACCTGGGGTTCATAATCAAACCCATGCTGGTTGTGATGCGTGAGATCATTCAAGGAAGGACAAGTTGTCTGTGAGCAGTGGCCTCAGGTGGCCCGGGTGAGTGGTTCCCTTGTGGATTTTCCTGTCTCCAGAGTGGGAGATGTGTAGGGGCCAGTGTTGAGGGTTTCTGCTTTACAGTGGCCTCCTCAGCAATGCTTGTCAAAAGTCCAGCATCTCTGTGCTGCTAGCTCAGTTGACTACTCAGTTACTGAGAGTGGTAGAGACAGTTAAGATCACAGCTGTTCTCCTAGGTAGAGGAATGGGAACACAGAGCCATGATGGGAATGGAAATGCCTTTCAAAACAAAATGAATGTCACCAGGTAGAAAAACAAACTCCATAGAAATACCCAGATTTCATACAACATAACTGACAAGGGCTAAAGTGATTCTCCGTAACAACAAAGTTCCAGTTCAGGAAATGTCCCAGATTTCTCCCCAGAGTGTGAAGACTGGTATCGATGACCAAGGGGAACAAAGAGCTTTGTGCTGGGGTGCAGGAGTGCACCATTGTTATTGGCAGTAAATTACACCATGGGGTAGATTAGGATGAATATTCCCAAGACTGAGGTCATTTCAAGTTTCTGTTTGCCTGAGTGAAGTTACAGAGGTAACCTATTTATTCATGGCCCTGTGGTCGGACCCAAGTAGAAGATCATAACTGCTTGTACACATGACCCTACAGTCAAGAAATCAAGAAACCTCTGCCTCTATAAGCTTTTTGATTGATGCAGTGGGAAGATTTGCTCCTGTTCTGTTCTTTCTCCTAAAAAGAGTGCCTGAAATTCCTTGGTCATTTAGAACCTTGAGACACTGTGATCTGAAGTGGAGCATGAATCAGTATGAAAAAATGTGCTCAGATACATAGTTTTTTCTTCTTGCTGAAGTTGGTCTTAAATTTTCAGTCTTGGGGGAAAAATGCATGTTGCTATTGCATTTATAGAGAAGCAACATGTACTAAGCCAGGTAACTCCTTTAAAGCATCTCTGTGAGCCTGCTCACCATTAAGTTTTACTAGAGATGACTGAGCTGGACTTTGTGTTCAAGCCCGCGAGGAACTCAGTAGAAGTACATGATTTCCTTATCCTTAGAGATCTCATAGCCCAAGTTGTTGGCTTTGCAGGGGTCCATAAACAAAGCTAAATTTTACCTGCCCAAAGCTGCAACTAATTGAAACAGAGAGAAGAAATCAGACAAATGGACATCAAATACAGCTTTATCATTTAAAAAATGTTATAGAGGGAAGTAGGATTACTAATCTTGTGGCTCAGAATTGGAATCATCCATTTAATGCAGGCAGAAATGGCAAAGCAGATGTTCTCTTAGAGAAATTTTTTCCTGTTACAACACAGCATTAAAGTGCAAAATATATGATTTAGTCAGAAGGACCTAAAACAGGAGAGACTTGGGCCAGGGATATAGCTCAGTGACACAGTGCCTGCCTGGCAAGCACAAGGTCCTGAGTTCAATTCCTGGTAAAAAAAAAAAAAAAAAAAGAGAGAGAGAGAGAAAGAGAGACTGGGATAAGCTGCATATGTCTTTTTTTTTGCTCAAAGTTTCTGATCTTAGTGCTCTTTTTTAAAATATGGCACAAGAAATGAAGAAGCAAGAGGCATCTGAAATGTTAAGAATGGCATGAACCGAGAACTGGACAGATGGTGTAGATTTTTGATGCAGTGCACTGGTCAAGCTAATTGAATAGAATAGGTGGTCAGCAGGGATAAGAAAGAGGGCTGGATACATAGCTGGATTTCAGATTCTAGAAGGCATTTAATGACAAATGAATAAATTTGAACCTGACACCATCTAGACCGTGAACATACTGAAGATTTGTGGTGAGTAGCTCTACTTTGCACCTGGAGATACATTCTGTGGTTTGGAAATAAAGCTCATTTTAATTGGTCTCTGGGGGTCATTAGAATTTAACCTTCTTCACTGGAGATCTTGTACAAGCTGAGATTGTGCACCATATGGCCAGTTAGCAAAAGACTACAATTTTTCTGGGTTCCAAGTGCCCTTGAGTAACGCAGCTGGGAAAATCAGTACGTTTTCACATTGAGTTTAGCTAAATTAACACACTTTCACACAGCGTATTTTGTTTGGTGAAAGAGAACTGGTGGGTGAAACTTCCCATCTACTGAACAGGACATAAATGGTCCTATTCTGCTTACAGACTAGGGCCTGACTTCTCCTAGAGATGCAGTTCTACCATGTTTTGAGGTTGGAGGAGAGATTAATTCCAGCTGGAGGAACTTAGAGAAATGCACAGCTGGGTTGACTTAGATGATAAACTGCTGGGGATGGGGAGAAAAGAACCAGTGTCAGGTCAGCAGAGCCCATATTCAAGGGATGTTGGGTGGCTGTGTGAAAGACCATGGCTGAAGATAGAAAAGATGCCGGTGAAGAGCTTAGGTGAAGAGTTCAGTGCTTCTTCTGTGGGTTATTATTTCTCTTTTATTTTCTCATATTTAGATACTCAGCAAATAATATTTGTGTGTATGATAGAGTCCCCTCTCATGGACAATTTGTAATGCCATAGGAAATTATAACATTTCCTCTGTCTGAAAGGTCAGTGAAATCTGTAATGGTCAGGTGCCAGGCACCTGGCAGTTGGAATGACGTTGGCCTCCTAAAGACACTGGTATGTATCACTCCATCCTCCTCATGGACATCCCAAGTCTATTCTTGACAGTGGGGAAGAGACAAGGAAAGCCAGAACTTATTTGGGAATTTATCTTACCGAAGAGAGTCCTTGGAGAATGAAGTAAATCATTCCACTGAAGTCTCCCAAATCTGATGAGGTTGAAACAGTTTCCGTCTACACTGTTGGAGCAGTTTCTGGCCATAGAGATATTCTCTTCCTTGTTCATTCTCTAATCCTCACTTAGAAATATAATACTGTCATGGTTGTAATTACATAATTAATGGAGAAAATAACCCTTGAGAGCGGAATAATAGTTGATCCCTTCTTCAAGGTGTCAGAAACTGTATTAGTTGCTTTTTCATTGCTGAGATAAAATGCCCAACACCCAAAGTTAAAGGAGGAAAGGTTATTTAGCTCACAGTTTGTTGAGGTTTCCAGTCATGTTGGCTGGCTCCAAGACATGATGGCACAGGGCAGGGGGCATCACAGAAGATGAACAGCTCATGGCAGGCAGAAGGCAGCAAAACAGTAAAGCAGCAAAGCAGCAAGAAGCAAGAAGCAAGAAGCAAGAAGCAAGCAACAAGTGACTCTAACAGTCCTCTTTCTGTCCAGGCTCAGGCCATTAGGGTGGGTGGCACTCTCACCCAGGGTGAGCCTTCCCATTATCTACTCCTAGAACTGCCCTGAGCCAATCAGTGGACTGATTTAGTAATCCCACACCCTTGATCCCAGCGTCACACACTCTAGATCCTGCCACCTCTGAAAAACCCCATCTATGAGTGTATGAGGTTTTTGGGGACATTGAGACACAAGCCATAACAGAAGCTTACTCCTTCAGGACAGGGCTGATGCTGACACTAAAAGTTGTACACTGTGTGTGCTCGCCCATATTCCTACCACACTTTTTTCATATGGGAGGCTATTGTTATTTTTCCACATCCTTAACAATAAACTACATTGCTCTTCAGTCTCTCTCCACTAATGAATCACAGCACAGATATTTACAACACCAATGGTTATGCTATGGTGACATGCTCTGGGCTGCTGGTTTGATGAATTTTCATGAATGCTTTCCTAGATATTAAGTATTCACCTTATAACTCCTTATACTAACAACAGTTTCACAACAATGTGCTTCTCCAGCACTGTCAAATAGTGATTATATAACATTAATTTTTATATATATATATGCTTTAAAATTTTTATTATCCTTACTCAAAAAAGTAAAAAATAAAAATAATGGAATGTAGCAATATATTTTACTCCGAAGTGTCTAAAAGTTTATTTTAGTATGCACTCAGTATGAAAAATTAGGCCAGGGATATAGCTCAGTGGCACAGCACCTGCCTGGCAAGCACAAAGTCAGTGGTCATGAAATTAATTATGTAATTAAAACCATGATAATATTACATTTCTAATAATTCCCAGTACCAAAAAAATATGCATAATTATCAGTGAGAAATTTCATATTTTTTCATAGTAACTTTACAAAATTCTGACTATATTTTACATTTCCAGTGTATCTCAATCGTATGCTAAGTTTTCACCTGAAATCCT